TTATTCAACCTAGCTGTCAAAGCACATGCACATTCACCCTAATCATTCACATACACAATTTGCTATCATTCACACATTCATTCCACATGCATTCCCTTCACAAATCAGCCACATGCACTTTGCCTTTCATCATTGCACCATAAATCAGCCACATGCACCCATAATCATTCAACCAACTTTGCACATGCATTCATCATCATAACCTAGCTGTCATTACCCTTTAATCACATGCATATATCAGCCACATGCATCTCCCATCACCATTTCAGATTTCCACCAAGTTCCTAGCTGTCATATTCCCTCCTTTTCACCTATAAATAAGCATCCATTGCAGCCACAATTCATTCATTCCCATTCATACACAATTCATTCACCATTCACGCCAGAAATTCATCCCCTCTCTATAACACATCCATACTTCACCATTCTTCATATTTTCTGCCCAAAAAGAAGCCTTGAGGTCCCCTACATCCATCCCTATCCTAAACACATCATTCTACACCATCCATAACTCCCCATCCCTCCAAACCTATCCTTAGACCTTGTGCTACAACGAAGAGGAGGAGAAGAGTGCCTAAACGTTCATACAATTCAAGTTTGAGTTGTTGGAATGTTTAGGTGTTTCTTTTCCTCGATTCCAATGTTTAATTTCAATTCTCTTTGTTTTGTACGTATGAGGAACTAAACCCCCCCTTGGCTAGGGGGGGATTCGAAATATATGTTTATGCTTGCATTTTGATTTGATTACTTCTAATTGCGTTTCATAAGTTGTGGATTCAATTTGTTTAACTGTTTGATTGATAACTTATTTATGTATGTTTATTGAGAGTATACGCTTAATTTTCATGCATGAATATGACGCTAGAATATAAGTGAGTTTCACCTAATAGTTACGAACTTATATTCACAAGTAGTGGAGGTTGCTTATAAACAATCGCGTTAAACGAATTCTTGGCATAAGTTTCATGCAATCATAGTAACGAATGCCTCGTCAACACTTATAGTTTTCATGATGCTTAATGATTCTTGCTTGTATCTCTATTATGCAATTCATGTAGGGAACTTGTGAGGAATGCTTTGGGTTGTCGTATGCAATCATCCAATTCATTAACTTAAGGAAAATTTGACGGTTAATTTAAGCGGACCTAATTAACCCGGGGCGTTGAGAATTCATGGTTTATTGAGAAGCAATTAGATTCGTTTTATATGCAAGTATAACATGTATGGAGATGAACCCCTTGGCTAGCATTCATTCATTCAATTCCATCACATTCATCTTTACAATCTGTTTTTAAATACAATCTGTGCATTTTAGTTAATTTCGTCAAAACTCAATCCCCCTTTACTTTAATGTCCAAATTAGTTAGAAAGTGTTTTAGGTTGTGTTTATAAGTGTTTTGATTCAATTTGTTATACAAATTCGTCCAAATTCACCAAAGTGCTCAAAACTGCCCAGAAAGTGTTTTTAAGGCTGTTTTGAGTGTTTTGGGTGATGTTTGAGTCTTTTAGGTTTGTTTAAGAGTTTTAACTTTTAGTTTTGCATTCTTTGAGTCTAGTTTAGTGTTAAAGTGTCTTAATTTGTGTTTTAAAGTGTTTTGAATCAACCTTTAATCTTAAATTCGTCCAAATTTGTGTTTAAGGTCAGAAACTGCCTAGTTAGTGTTTTTAGGCAGTTTTGAGTCTTTTGAACCTGTTTTGAGTCCTTTGAGTCTTTGTGAACGTTTTTAACTTTGTTTTTATGTTTTTGAGTCAATTTAGAGGTTTTAGCAAGCCCTCCTAATCCCCGGTCTAGAACGATCCCTACTTGCATCCTTACTACAATTTGACAACAAGAGGGTTTAATTTGTGTGCGTATAATTCTCGCATCAGGTGACATTTCAGAAGCTTATTCAAGGAATTGGTATGCGTATCCTGAAGCATATGTGCTTGATCTTAATGTACTATTTTTCCTTACGATTAGGAGCATTTTTCCCACTAGGTTTTTGCTACCTAACGAGGTTTTGACAAGGCACCCATCTTGGGTTGATCATATCCCTGATGATGTCCCGTAAACGTTTCATTTGACTTTGCATTTCTCATGCATTTTTTCTTAGACTATGGATTTTGTCCCTACTCGGGTTTTTACCATAGCCATAGGGGTTTTTGTGAGACTTACTTCCCTATGCAAGTTCCTACCTTATTTGAGAATAACGTGTTCCCAGAATCAGTGCCGACGAGTCGACTTCCTCAACTCTAGATGATGTCGAATCTACTTGAGTATTTACACACTCAAGGGGGAGTGTTATAAACTTCTTATTTAAGGGTGATTGTGTAAATCCTAAATTAGATTTGATTCTAGTTATTCTATCCTATTAGGATTTGTATTCCTTGGAAGAGAATGATTTCTTCTCTCTCTCTTATTACTATAAATAAAGACATTGCGTAGGAGGAATAACACATTCTTTACACAACCTTACAAACACATACCTCTCTATATTTTCTTTGTGCTGCCGGTGCCCTTTCCCCTGTCAGTTAAATATAGACCACAACACGATGTTATTTATATTAAAAAGCAAGGGTGTGCTAGCAATAATGTGATTCAAATTTACTTTTGGCAAAAATCGAATTTAAGACCTCTCCCTTACAAATAAAAAGAAAAAACGGTTAGACCGTAGTACTAAATAATGATTGTTATTTAGTTTTTGAACGTGACGGTACGAACCCTCCCATAACATGGTACTCTTTTCTTACCTTCTAAAACCACTGAATTATGAACTTGTGGCAATCCTCATTTTGTTACTCCTGAAACGTCAACACGATACCATTATACAGCTGGTCCACTCTCCCTAAAACGATGCCGCTTTAGCGCTCGCACAATTTCCTTCCCTTTGTTCAAATCCCAAATTCCTTTCCACCCTTCTCATATCTCCGAGAGAAATTAAAGGGAAATAAGCCAGCCAGTTTCGCAGAGAGAGAGACCCGAAAACCCGAATCGCGAACCCGGAAAAAATGGGCAAGGATCTGAGCGATGACCAAGTATCGTCGATGAAGGAGGCGTTCACTCTATTCGACACCGACAACGACGGCAAGATTGCTCCGTCGGAGCTCGGGATCCTAATGCGATCGCTCGGCGGCAACCCGACCCAGGCCCAGCTCAAATCCATAGTCGCCGAGGAGAAGCTCACCGCCCCCTTCGACTTCCCTCGCTTTCTCGACCTCATGGCCAAGCACATGAAGCCCGAGCCTTTCGATCGCCAGCTCCGCGACGCCTTCAAGGTCCTCGACAAGGACTCCACCGGCTTCGTCTCTGTATCGGAGCTCCGGCACATCCTCACCAGCATCGGCGAGAAATTGGAGCCGTCCGAGTTCGACGAGTGGATCCGGGAGGTGGATGTCGGGTCCGATGGCAAGATCAAATACGAGGACTTCATTGCCAGAATGGTGGCCAAGTGAGGGACGTAACGGTGCGTTTTGCATGGGTGAAAGTGTTTCGTGGAAGTAATTTGGGGGTAATGTATGTCTTTTTCTTAATTTTATGGAAAATTTAGGGTTTGTTTGTTTGGATTTTGTTTGTGATGAACTGAAATTGTTTCCAGTACTTGATAAATTTGAAGGTGTTTGGGATGTAAGTGTTGATGGTTTTACATAATGTAATCTCGATTTGCTGGATTATTTTGTGCTCTTTGATTTTGTTTTTCTGTTGGGAATTTGCTGTTTTCGTAAAGCGTTGATCTTTCGATTGTGGTTCGATTGCATTTGCTTCTCAAACTCAATGAAATGGTAAGTGAGAAACAATTGAGGCAATGCTCCATCCTCTCTAAATTTATGTCTCGAATACGATCATTTAGCTGTGAATGTGGGATTTAGATGAAGAATTAGACAACTTAATTGTTTTGGTCAGGTGGGGTTTTGTTAACTAGTTCTTCCCATATAAAATTAGGTATATTCCTTTGGTTTGTCTAGGGTTCATGACCAGTTGGGTACAAGGATTTCCCGTTGAAGGTGACATTGGTTTGTAGGGTAATGTTCTCTTGCCATAATCTGTCATGTTATGATGTCAGTCATCAAATATTGGACTATAGAATTGATTGACAGTCTGCCTATATAACATGTTAAGCCCTCTGGTAAGACCATAAGAGGAGGTTCCCCCCTCTTGTAAGACCGTAAGAGCAGGTTTCTGTTGTTCGTGATTATATTTCAACGACTAAACTTGATCATCGTTTGGTTGAAGACCAAGTGAATAACGGAAGTTATGCTGCTATGGTACATGTAAATGGTGCAATGATATTTGTGTTAGTAAAGTACATTTTGTGCCCTCAGTGGATTGCTTGTTGCAATAGTTTGAATGATCTTGGAGCAGAAATCCCAGTCCTGTGACGAACTGTGAAGGAATAAAGGATTAATGGGAAGCTTAGGAATCAAAATACAAATGTAAGACCTCCAACTAAAGTTTGAAGCTTGATGTAGTTGCTAATGCTAGGGGTGTAACTTGTTTGGTGCCTAGGATTAGAATGGATTGGGTAACTCAGAAAGTTCAAGATATATCGAAGGTAGAGGTGAATGATTTAGAAGGGCACGTGAAGGAAGCCTAGCCCGTTTAATCAGATAATCTTACCACTTTGGGAGGATTGGAATGTACTAGTTTGGTTATTGAGTAATTCATAATATATCTTCAAGTCGAACATGACTTTTTCATTTCCTTGTTCAAATGTTATTCATTTCAATCGAATCCAAGGCAACAACAATGACGAGGCAGTGTTGTCGAGAGCTCTAACCAATGTACCATACTAGGAGAGACTTTCGTATCAAGAGGGCATTGCACACCCTTGTCTCTGTCTCTCTTCTCACGTGACTGCAAAATTACAGCAGCATAGTAGATGTTTCGACTCCGCCAATTCTAATGCACAGAGACGAGGGTTGGCTACGATTCTTAACTTCTTAACAGGCATGGAACTAGCACATTTGGAACCAGAACCCAATCAACAAGTCTGATCAAATAGAGAAGTAAAAGAGAGAATAAATATGGCAACAGTGAGACTCAAACTTGATTTTCAAAAAATTACACAAGCAACAAACAACAAATGTCAAGATGTTCCACTTTACACAAGAGGCCCGAGCTTCCGATTACAGTTCAGGCTTATGTACAACAATACCACATGATATGAATGCAGATGAAGAGCGAATATGTCCCAACTAAGTCGCATAACGAATTCAGTGGCTAAAGCGTGTTGGTTATTCAAGAATCCAGAAGGCAAGGAAACCATCATGTCTTCATTACCGACGTGGCAAAATTTTGCGTTGCTGACGAGCTGGTCGTCTGAGCTATGAGATTCTGAACTTTCTGGAGCAGGAGGTAGCTGAGTTTCTGCAAATGGATTATCCGGGTTTCCCCTATCATCCTTGGGTGGATCTTCCGGATCTTTCTTCTCGTCTTTTTTCTCATTCTCTTCGCTAGAACTACCACCACCTCCCTTTGAAACACCTGGAACCAAGTCAGGTCGAGGTTCCACACCAACACGTCTTAGATGCAGCTGACAGTGCAAACACCATTTGGATTATAAGGTCTTTTGATCATGCATAAAGCTACTACCGAGTAAACCAAATATTAAAAACTAAACGCTTGTAGAAGCAAATAGAGAGACCATTTACCTGAAGATGTAAGTTGACTTCATCCGGTCGGGACAGGAATGGAAAATCTCCCCCACTCTTCAACTGTGCTCGCCTTGCGTCAGGATACCTTTCACCAACTTCATCTTTGAGTTGTTGAGGAATCCCACTGTAGTCATTTGTCTTCGTGTATATGTTTCAGGAAGAAATTTTTTGACGGGTCAGCTTAAATTTTTAAACTTCCCAATCTAGTATTGGAATGTAATACTGATACTGTAAGAAGGATTCAGATGTATGAATAGACAAGCTAAAGCAAGAAGCCGTTGACATTCACATTTAAAGTGTCGTTGAATCAAATCCATAGCTGGTTTCTCTAAGATATAAGCAACATTTATCGCTGTATGTGAGATATAAATGCAGTGTGACAAATTTAGTAAGAAATTGTATAATATTGAAAGCAGCCAAAATTTTCAAAGTTCTAAAAGAGAGCAATGAGTTAGAACAAAGTTAGAACCAAAGGGATGCAATCCATAAACAAACACTTTTTTCCAGGGGTTATTTGAAAATGTATCCATACGCACGAACATAAACCAAACAAGATCCCGAATACATACATCCATTATAGTGATGAATGAATCCGTAAGCAACAGAGGTCCAACTGAAGCAGCATCAGTTGTTAAAGTCAACCTGGAGGCCAGGTCCTCTCTTGAGAGCGTCTCAACCTGAATTTTCACAGTTTCAAGTCAGAAATTAGAATAGATTGCACGACCATTCAACTTCTATAAATATTTGTAGTCAATTACCCCAGGGTCCCTGATAGTATTTAACTTCCTTCCCAAGTACACACCTTTTTTCCTTTCCGGATTAGTTCATTTGGTTTTTCGTTAAATCAAATCCCTCTGAAGATAACATCGTGCATAGCAATACCAAAGCTTAAAATATCATATCATTCATTCTACATGTCAATTTGATAAAATTAATACTTGTAAATCATTTGTCAAGAAAAATTATCAAACAGAAAACAAGAACAATGAATACTATCTTATCTAGACAAGATCCGATATGGAAATTCTTCCAAATGCTTATCACACCCAGAGATTCATGATGTCGAATTTATCAAAGTTTACAAGGGTTTTTTATTTTTTATTTTTTATTTTTTTTGTTGTTATTCAAATTGAAAGCTAAAAAGTAATAGGTAAAGTAGAAAAAATCTGGAAACCATTTTAGGAGTAGTGTGATGAGAAAAAAAAAGGTGCAAACAAAAGCATCCAATCCCCTAATAGAACAACACAAATTATCCTAAAACCAAAGTGGAGCATGTATCCAAAGCCAAAAGTCAAGAATTACAAATAAATGGAGACGCTGTAATCATGCAGACAGAAGTCAATGAAGTTATCGAGGCACAATGCTGAGCTAACAATAGGCACAAGATATATCAGTAAGTGAGATGTACAGAAGGTGAGAAGATCTCTAATAAGTAACACAACAGTGATAATGGGTAGGGTGTAAAGGCCTTCACAGACTCTACCTGAGAAACAACGAAGTCCACTGAATCTGCTATAAATGGCTCATGGGGGCCATCATGTATTCCGGTCAAGACATATCTTTTCAACAAAAAAGAAGGGGTCCAACTAATGCTGCATAAGACAATACCATATCAGGTAAGTTGATGTTAAAAGAAAACAAAACTGGAAGCAAATTACTCTCTGAGCCAAAAAACTAAACAAATGCAGCATGCACTTTGTAAAATATAGTATATCATATCCAACCAATAATTTCAAACATTTCTATTAAAAATTGATGATGTTCCGGTATAACGTTTCATTTCTTAATTTATTTAAAAATCAAACAAAAGTAACCATGTGGATGGATGGATCAATAGTCCAATGAATGTAATCCCTTATATTGATCCTCTTCCTCATTGGAATGCAGACCAGTCCATGGAAGGGAGAAGATAAGCCTAAGGATCATATGGAGTTTTTTCTTTACAAGTGGCAATTCATTAATAATGATGTCACTTTAGCACCTTGAGAATACAAATTTTTCAAAATCAGATGAGAAAAGCCACTTGAGAGGGTAAGTAGATAGTTTCAATTCAACTCAATCCCTTCAATCAATTAGGTGAAATGCTCAATATTCCATGGAAGCAAGGATATATTAAAAGGATCAATACTTATCCCAGTGAATCATAATTTAGGTTATCAACTTGCAATATCAAGAATAAATTGAGCAGGAAAATTGGTATGCCTTAGTGCACCTTATTGTTATCAGCAAACGTTTACAAGGTAAAGCATGAATCTCTTTGATGTCAAGAAGTACCAAAGACCATTATAACCCTTTGCCAGGTCAATACAACATCTGAGCACTTATAAAACACCGGAACACAGAAGTCAAAATAAATAGCTTAACTATCAACCTCTATCAAAACCACTCATTAAATATTTACCATCATATACCTATTTTTGGATTTGACCCAACTTTAACAACATGTGTGTAGCTTTATGAATGTTTAAAGTACAAATATGATAAACATACACGGGAGCCCAAGGCATTGCTGCAGAGAAGCTGCGCGTGTCCAAAAATGTGTTTGATAGTATCAATGATCGAACTCGTCTTGGACGATGCTGAGCAAAAAGTTGAGCCAAGAAGCCCCCAAGGGATGTACCATATATATGTATCTGTTAGAAAGAAATTGATCAGATTACCTTAAAAGACTATTTTTTTTAATTAACTAGAGTCACCACAAATATGAAAAGAGTTTTTAACAGCAATTAAACAATCTAACAGTTTGTTTAAGTTATATATCAAGATATACACTGTTATGAAACACATTTCTCAGCTAAATGGTGTAAAATTTCATCAACAGCGTGTTTCCTCTTTCTCTGCTCTGAGCACTTTTCCCGATTTGGATACGCATTTCATATACAGAAAATCAGCAATTGTTTAATTATATAATCTAAATACAAAAACAAAACATTTATGGTGCCACGAATGATTTTACTTAAGGGATAGTTAACCATTTCTTTTTTGGACGTAGGGATAGTTTAACTATATTCGACGTAACATGTCTGAAATCCTTTCAATCTGATCAAAATTAAAAGTAATATATCTATATGCATCATTCAGTGTATATTATTGCATGTAACAAATTTACTATAAAAACAATGTTATCTCACTTTCCTGTGGCCTAGACACCAAGTTCAAATCTTTCTGTATACCTGAAATCACTACTCAACTACCCAGAAGCTAGAAATCAGGGAACTCAGGAATCTTTCTTTAGTTTCAATGTACTGGGAGTTTTGAGGAGGCGCATGTGAGAAAAGGCAATCAGAAATGAAATATTTTCCATCTTGCACAATCACTGGAAGAGTGTTGATCTGTGAAGCATCTTGCTGACAGTATAACATGAAGGTGCACCTAAATATCATACGTATAATTAAGTAGGGATGAATGGTCATCAATCACTGAAAGCTGTATGCAGCACTTGGGTGTTTCCTAAAGAAACTAACTATTTAGAACCTAGAAGCTACTTGTGCATTAAGAAAATGAGAAATTCCTTTTGCACAAGCAATAGAAATACTAAACAAAATAAGATTGATAATGGCAGGAGTAAACTGTAAGTAAGATGAGTTCTTACGTGATGAACATCAATAGCATCCAAGAATTTCTCGAATGCTAGAATCCACTCATGATGATTCCATACACGGGGAATATCAACAGAAATCACCCGATAACCCTGCATATATTATAAATTTATTAGTATTAATGTTTAAATTAATTAAGTAGAACTTGAGAAGATTTATCAGGTACAACCATTCAAATTTAGAGGTGTTGGACAGAGAGGGAGCAGCAGAATGAAAAAAGATGGGTACATATACAAGATTTACCAGCCACAACCATTCAAATCTAGTTAAACAACTGAATTATCCGCTTAAAGAGAATAGAAGGAAATCAGTATCTAGAAATATAAAATTCAAATATACAGGAGGAGATCAAACATATACAAGAGACACCCAAAAGTTGCTGATTGTTTGCAACAAAACAACTAAACAGAAAAAAATAAAGCCCAATGGACCATGAAAACTGGAAATTATAGTCTAAAGTGCCTAGCAAAAGAAAACGAAAACCAAAAACTAATATGCTTTGGGAAGACTTATGTGATAGATACAATGAAGATAACATAAAGGCCAGCCTACTACCTTCATGGACAATGACATGATCTGCTTGTAGCAGACATCAGCTGTTCCTGCTGTTCCAGGAAGACAAATAAGAGGAGGTACCACTTTCGGGCCAAAATCATAGTATCGCCACTGCTTTGTGCCAATCTGCATACACCGTAATTTCAACTGTAAACCCAATGCTCAATAAGTAATGAGAAACAGGCGGACAGCTGCTTTATCAACACACACAATTGATTAAGCTAGTAGCTTTGCAGCTGAAACAGACATAGATACATTCATAAGAAGCTCCACATACCACATGCAGAATCTAAATCCACAATTGAACGAATTAGAAAAACCCCACATCAAAATTCACAAACTTGATTCAAACCCACGTCCTAATACAGGTTGAAATACAAAACTATGCACGAAAAACGAACTATCTTGCATTTGGGTTTTCTAAAACAGGTAAGACTAAACCCTAAAGAACAAAAAACCCAGCTGTAAAATGAAACTAATGAATCAAACCCAGAAACAAAATCACAAAAAAAATTGAAAATTGAAAAGGGTAAAGGAGAAGTGGAGGTCAAAAGAAACGTACTGGGATCTTGTGAAGAGGGACCTGGGACTTGAAGTAGATGTAATCTCCGGGCGCCGAGTAGACGCCTTTCATTTCTGGTTTTTATGCCCAAAACCTCCCCATGTCACATACCCAGTATTCGATTTGATCTTATCGATCGATCACTCTATTTCTCTCTCTCTCTCTCGATTTTTCTATTATTTTTCTATGTATTTGCTGGATTGGTTTGCCTAGTTCTTCTTCCGAATTTTCTTTGAAATTTTAATTTGGGGGATTGACCAGTAGAGGGTGAGAGGGAAGCCCACGTGGCCGGGCCCCCACTACGACAGTCCATGACTCAATGGTTCATCAACTAATTGTCAAAGGTCGTTTAGATGTTAGGCATGATTGGTGGTTGTAGGGTTTTATTTATTTATTTATTTTATGTTTTTGTCAAAGTGGTTGTAGACTTGTAGTTTATTTTTGTTTATTACTATCTTTGGCTTAACAGTTGATTTGCTTCATGAAACCGTCATTTAGTTTTATTTTATTCTTTGAAATTAGTTTTGTCTCACTTTACTTCATGAAACTATTATTTTGCCTCATTAGTGTTAGTTCACCTCATTTTCGTCATTTCCGTCAAATCTAAACTACATATTAATAAAACCCTCATTGTCAACCAAAATCCTATAAAAGCACCAGTTTAACCTTTTAATTAAAACTGAATATGAATAAGAAATATGGGCAGAAATGTAATTTTACACAATCAAAATTTTAATGTTTCTTTTTTCAAAAGCTCACCTATATGTAATTCTAATATATCTCTAATTAAAAACTAAAAAACTAAAAAATAAAATAAAATAAAGCCTCTCCCCATTCCCACATTGTCTATCACTCTCTTCCTCTCTCCTACACAAAAACAAAAATAAAACAATTTCACACACACTTTGTGTGCGCCCATATGCTAGTAAATATTAAATTAAAGTGTAGTATAGACAATTTATTTTTGACATAATTCTTTGGCTCCAACTTGCTTGCTAAAACAATCCCAATTCCATTTTTGATAACTCTAATCAAACTCTTGTCTATGTCTCTTGTAGATTGATACATAACTATGTTGCAACTATTGGATTCAGCGACTCGCTTGAATTGGATTTTGAAACATAACCCAGTGTTTGCTTTTAAAGCACAACTAGACCTGACAATTTCTAACACAAAATGTGACATGACACGATAACTAATCGGGTCGTTACCATGATGGGTTCTTAATGGGTATACACGCAATTAACCCGTGGGTAACCCGTTACGAAAAAAATTATTTGGATAATTTTAAAGTTTAATTACTAAGAAAACGTATTATACAATACAATAGTCACATGAGGGGTTCTTAATGGGTATACATATGATTAACCCGTGGCAACCCATTTCGGCCCGCTACATTTTTTTTTATATTGATAATTGTAAAGTTTAATTACTAAGAAAACGTATTATAAAATTCAATAGCCATACTGTATATATTGTATATTAAATATGTATTATTGTATATTTATTTTTATTATGAGAGTTTCCTATTATCATTATTGGATAAATTTTACATGACCTCTTGTCCAAAATTAAAATCAACTAGTAAGTATTTTCTTTTTGAACAAACGATATTATCTACACTAAAGAAATGGGCGTGGGCTTAGCCTCACTTAGCAATAATGTGATTCAAATTTACCTTTGGCGAGAATCGATCTAAGACCTCTCATTTACAAGTGAAGATGAATACTATTAGACCATAGTACTAAGTGGCATAAGTAGACAAGATAAGAAGACAAACCTACAAGTGTGAAAAATGTGAAAGAATATATTAACACTCGTGATTGCATCCTTCGTCTAAGAGTAGACACTAGTTGCACTTATATCGTCGTTTAGATTTTTAAAACCCTTCAAACCCTCATAAATAGTAGTTTTTTATTTGAGTGCAAAATTAATAAAATTCATAATAATTATTGTAGAAGTGTTAAAAACGTAAAAGAAAATATACAATCACTTATAATGACAAGCTTTACAATTTTCGTGAAGTTGTCAACTCCGAAATCTGACACCATAATCCATAAACCTTAGATTTCCATTTAACCATTGATTGTCCTTTACACTTTATTCTTCTTACCGAATTTTGTTTTCCAAATCTTGTTTTTTTTTTTTTTTATTTATTATTATTTATTTATTTAAACATGATCTTCTAGTGTATGTAGAAAAATAAACAGTTTGGATGATTGATATCATGTTTCGATATTTACGGTTAACTGAAATATGAGTCAATGTTATATAGTTTGTAGAGACTTTAAACTCTGAGTCATATTTTCACTAACGGTTAAACTCTGAATAATATCAACGATCCAAACCATTCATCTTTCTGTGTCTTTTAATAGATCATGTTTTCAAAAAAGAAAATCTGAAAAAACAAAATTTGGTGAGAAAAATGAAGCGTAAATGTAAATAATAATCAACGGTTAAATTTGATATACGATTTATGTGATTATAGTGGCAAATTTTAGTTAAGCCCTTCATTAAAGTTGTAAAGTTTGTCATTACGAGCATTTATATACATATATATTATTTTTTATTTTTTATTTTTCACACTTCTATATTAATTAAAAAACTTTACTTAAACAATAGCCATAGGATTTAATCTCACTGTTGGATTCTATTTCACTTATATTATTAGAACTTTTTGGACAAAATCATTTCTCTTTTCCAATATTTCGACAATTCCACTATCTGATCAAAACAAAAACCTTAATATTCCAGAATCTCTTTATCTCTCCCTTAACCCCCCTCTCTGCTCATTGTCTGTTCTTCCTCTAGCCTCTCTCAGTCTCTCTTTTCTCCTCCTTGCGCAGTAGGACAAAATCATTCTCAGTGTCTCTGCATCAGCATCTCTGGCCATCTCTAAATCTCCGCATCTCCATTCTCCAGATTCCAAAGTCGATTTTGCCTCTTAATTGTTTAATTCGTTAGTTTTCGCTCATGAATTATTTCTTTGATTGGTGATTTTTATCTGGATTTTATGTTGAAATAATCTGAATTTGATGCATAATTATATTTGCCAATGGCTAGCTCATTAATTTGAAATTATCTGGGTAATAAAAGAACTCCAAATAGAAACTCGGATGTGAAAAAATGCAGCATCGAGGAACCAACTTGAGATATGCAAGAGATTTAAAGAAAATTAGTAGAAAATTGTCCATGGAAATAATGAGCATAGAATATTTAATGTCCAATTATACACTTCACTACGTCTGTGAAAACCTGTCCTGAAATAGAATATATTTTATTCTCGATGGGGTGAAATGACTAATTTGCCCTTGAGCGTTTGGTAGTGGTGTGTGTGGATGGGCTAAGGATTTGGACCAATTCATTTTCTCCCTAAGTAATTGGACCCAATTAGAATTTAGGCTTTATTTGTTTTTGGTTGGTTGCCCAAATTCGGACCATACACACACACACACACACACACTTACCTGTTGACCCTTATTTCTCTCTCTCCTTCTCGATCGTTTTCAACCGTCCGTACAACCTGTATGAACAACTCCTAATCTAGCTCTCCATTCACGGATCAAGCTTGTGGACACCATCATCACCTTTCTTGTAACCTTACAAACTCAATTATACCTTTGGTTGGACGTGAGAACTTCGAAAACTCTAGAACCAGGGAGCTCCGACGAAGTGCATTGTTTATCCGTTGTGATCGCAGAGGTTTCGTCGAGTTTTAGGGTCCTAGGAAGTCTTAAAACTTCTTCATGAAGCTTAGAGAGGAGTTTTGGAAGGTTTTGGATGTCGGGACACTTGAGTTCGTCGAGTTACAAGGGTTGCCAGACTATTGAGATTTTTTCGGCAAGATTCCGTTGGTTTTAGGTCCTTAAAGTGGTAAAGATGTGTTTCTTTCGTCCTAAGCTTCATTTTGGTACAAATTTCATGAAATTTGGTGTTAAAAGGAGTGAGATATTAAGGTTTGAAATTTTCCCAGAATCCGACGATAGCAGCGGTGACCGGAGCCGGACTCTGGCGAACCAAGGAAGGAGAAAGGGAATATTCCATCAACTTTGACGGAATATTACTAACGGCGTCAGGTATATTCCATTATTTAATGGAATATTCCTTAATGCCGTTAGGGATTCCGTCCAGCATGCCAGACACGTGCCTACGCGTGGCCATGCCTTGGTCAGCGCATGAGGGTGCGTGGGAACTTAGAAAATTATTTTAAAACTATGGGGATGTTCGTGGGGTTGAGTAGGCCATGATAGTATATTCAAATACCCCAATTGAGCAACGTATGAGAAGTTATTACCTAGTTTTGTATATGTGCTTAAAAATAACATTAAAATAGTTGTTTCGCATATATGTGAGACTTTTCCAGAGGACGAGCGCAGTCAAGTGAGACTCGTGGGCTACAACCCTTCTACATATCAGTGAGTGGGCTTTTCAGTACATACATACATACATGTATATATATATATATATATATGCTTGGTATTTTCCCCATAAAATGTGTTTAAATGGACTTGTGTTTTAAAATGCCATGCCAAATGTTTTATATTTAGAATATGCATTTAGTAGTTGCACATATATTTGTTTGACATTGTGGACGCTCAGGTAAGTTCCAGGTGAGTTGATAGATTGTGGATGTGAGTTGCATGATTGTGCTGAGATGTATCTATAGCTCATAACTTGCACGGTCCTTCACGTGATGTTCATCTCCCGCACCATACGCTCACCTTGGATCCAAGTTAGGTGCACAATCCTGTCATACAGACCACTATAGGTGGTTCCGACTCTTAGGTGACCCGCGATCATTTGCACAGTCTTCACGTGATCGTAGCACTTGAGCGTATTTATTTACACCTAGTCCTGTCGTACAGACAACTTTAGGTGGTTCCGTGCAGGCATATTTGTTGAGCTATTGGTTGAGCTGTAAATGTCATATTAGGTGACTCCGGCTAGATGGATGAGTTATAGATTTAGCCGTACAGGTCATATTAAGTGACTTTGGTTGATATATCATTTGCATTGATTTATCACTTGGCTTACATATTTTATGTTGAGATATTTGACATGGCATATATGTGGATTTTGCTATTCTGAGCATGGTTGTGATATAGATATGTATTCAAATTTTTGGGAAATTATACAGGTTTTACGGCGAGGAGTTACTACCTTTGATAATTGAAATGGTTTTGAAAAGCTTTGTTTTTGCCCACTCACACTTTCTGTTTTGCGCCCCTCCAG